TTTTTTTTAATCATGGCTACGAACGATACTGTAGACAGCACGATCCATGGTAGCGGATCCAATGGCGGCATTCCGTTAGTCGTAACGGGGTTTTTAGGGATGATCCCCACGTTTTCTAATACTCAAGGTGAATATATTTGAAACCCTCCAATAGAATCTGTTTCTTGTAAATTTCACTAATCTTGTCAATATTATTGGTGCGGTAGAGTTCAGATACTGATTCCATAAAGTTTAAATTATAAATTGAACACATGTAACAATTTTGTGCCATCTGAAGTTTATTAACAGCGTATAGAGATACGGTTCCCCTTACAGCGATATCATATCTTATTTTAGATTCAATGCAAGTGTGGTATAGCCGTTTCAAGAGTGATGTGCTTAAAAAAGCTTGAATTTTCTTATTTATCTCAGTATACTTTGCCAGGGAAAGTGCAACATCATCTATATGTTTATTCCAGCACAGATTGTCATCAAAAGTTACTCCCAAAAACTTAATAGCTTTTACTTTTTCTATGTTATAATCAGTTATTTCAATTTTTAGGTGATGTGGATTGATTATTTTATTCCTATTTGCAAAGTGGAGGAATTTAGTTTTATTTTTGTTAATTACTAATCCATTGTTTTCGATATAACTATTTTTTTTAAGTTTTTAAAATATAGTTCCATATAAGTTTTTAAAATGTGATTAAATTCTCCTGAAGAATTATAATGTTTGTATGAGAATAAGTTATCACTAGATCATCAGCATACATCAGTATATTCTCTTTTGGTATACAGTTAAATAAATCATTATTATATATATTGAAAAGCAGTGGACCCAAGATTGAACCTTGAGGAACACCCTTATTTGGCCTGAAAGAGCTAGAGATAATCTAACCAATTTTTACAAAGTAAATTCTGTTTGACAAGTATGATTTTAACCAGCTTAGAGGAGTCCCTCTTAGACCAACAGTTTGCAATTTTTGATACAAAAGTTCATGATTTAAGCTATCAAATGCCTTTGAAAGGTCCACAAAAACTGATATTGCTATTTTTGATTTGTCAAGTTGTGACGTTATTGATTGTTTCAAATGCAACAAAGCATCTACCGTCGAAAATCCTCGTTTATAAGC